GGGGCGCAGGCAAGCATTAAAGAATTACAGGAATGTTGTTTATACTGCACCCTGGCTGGCTAGTCCCTTCCTTGTAACCATTCTGTGAGGAGATGGCAAGTGTCTGCAGATGGGCTTTGTCTCCACTCCAAGTCCCTCATTCATATCAGTATGATTGGTTGGAGTCTTTTGATGCCCGATACCTTATACCCTCGACACCTCATGATCACAGCCTGGTGTGCTGCTTCCATATGGGGTTTGTTGCTTTCTGGCTAGATGTTGTTTTAAGACTCCAGATAATGTATCTTGTAATAGGCATCATCAGCTTTCTTCACATTAGCTTATGCACCCATTTGTCTTCAGGATCTTGTGGGAGAGGAGAGCAACGCAGAATGCCAGGTTATTAGAACAAAGTATTCTGCTTAAGGCAGGACTTGAGTAGCGGCCCATTGTCTGTCTGCTACCTTAATACTTAACCTATAAATATATGTACATAGGCCTATATCCCTATCATTATATATTAATATATTTACATATATATGTGCCTGTATCTATACCTCTGTCATTTGCCTCTTAGTTCCTTCCTCTATTTCCTTTTACTTTCCTTCTCTCCCACTATCATGTTTGACCTTCATTCGGCTCTCAGTAATTCCTCTCGGCTACATTGCACTTGATCGAACCCCAAGTGTTCTACACCCTCCTCACCATCGATTTTCCGTCTCTTGTTCCCTGGTACTGGGTTGGTTGGCTCTCCCCTCTCTTGCCCCCATCTCCCCGGTTCCCAGGAACTGTTCATTGGTCTGTTACTTGTCCTCAGGGTTGTTTATCTTGCTTATCGTATATAGACATGGAAAAAAAAGAGGGGCCTATAAATAGTTCCAAGTCTGTCTAGTGACCCTTATGTATGTTTTCCAATCGAGTCTGATGAGGTGCCACGCCCTGGCCTCCAAGTCTGAAGTCTATTTTCAGGATTCCTCGAGGATTAATTGCTTTGCTCCCTCTGCTGCTCTGTTGCACTCCCTTCGTGTGTGTGTGTGTGTGTGTGTGACAGTCTCTCCAGTGCACTCCCTTCATGGGTGTGTGTGTGTGTGTGTGTGAGAGAGAGAGAGAGACAGTCTCTCCAGTGCTACTGTGAGTCAGTTGAGGGGATCCCCAAATGATGTTTACAGGGCAACCATAATAAACAAATTATGGGGAAAAGTATGTCATGAACTGGGGAGACCCAAGTGAACACTGCCCTTGATACAACCAGGAGACGAAAAGGCACACACCTGAGGCTGCCTGCCTGTGTCTGCCGCGACCACCTCTGCTCGGTGAATCGGAGTCTTAGGCAGATTCCAGGTTCAAGCCCGTGTTTTTGCCTAGTACTCAGGAGAACATTTGGTCCCCCAAACCATTTGTTTTCTTTTGGCTGATTAATGGCCAAGAGTTGAAAGGTTTAAGGATTAATTATTCCGTGTGTGTGCACACACATACAAGGGAGTACCTCCCCCCCAAAAAATGGAATTTTTTTCAAAGATATTTAAATATTCTTACAAAACAACCTTATCACCTTCAAAGTACTCTAAATTACACGCAATGCATTTGTCAAATCTATTCCATTCTTGGAAACATTTTCAAATGACAGAACTTCTGTTTCTTTTCTTCACCTATTCTACGTCATCAAATTGCTGTTTTTTTTAACCCTTCACTGTCACCCCCCAAAGATTGCTGTTCTTTGATATCCCTCTTCATTCAAGGAAACTAAAAGTAGTCACACAGAGTGGAGTAAGGTGTGGGGGCAAAAGAGGCATTCTGATTTTTGCCAAAACTGGCACACTGAGATGACTGCGTGAGCGGTGCATTCTTGTGGTGGCAAAACAGTCCCCCATCTAACAAATAAGGCCTTTTTTGTTGCACACTGGATCTCTGCAGAACCTTTAAGTTGAAATCTTGATTAGCAGTCTGACCTGGTGGAACGAACTCCAAATGCACTATCCCTCTCACATCAAAAAACAAACGAGCATTGCCTTGATAATTGATTTCACTTGATGGGTGAGATGCTGGTGGAGGTTCCACTAGCCTGATTGATGTCTGCTTTGGGGGACATAAGAATAGCACCATGTCTCCTAACCAGTAATGACCTTGGGGAAAAGTATGGGTCACATCAGAGCTATTCTTTCAAAGCACGGCATATTACCACTCTACGCTTTTTTTCCTGGTCAGTCAGAACCCAAGGTACAAATTTTGCAGCAACCCTTCTCATTCCCAAATCTTCCATTAAAATTTGCTTATCCGAGCTCCAAGATAGTCCAACTTCCCCATCTCTTCAATGGTCTGTCACCGGTCTTTGAGCACAGAGCATGGATTTTGCCTGTTTTGACATTTTTGTCCATTGAGGAAGTTGACGAACATACAGAACGAAGTTTGTCATCAATCGACATTTCACCTTTTTTGAAATGAGAAAATCACTCGTGCACTTGAGTTTTTCCCATAGCACTGTCCTTGCAAGCTGTGTTCGACATCACAGCAGTTTCTGCGGCATTTTTCCCAAGCAGGAAACAAAATTTCACAGTTGAACCCTGTACTCCTAAATCAGTCATCACGAAAAATAAGATTCGAGCAAAACTGCTTTTACGAAAAAATTCACTGACCAGAGAGAACCTTCTCAGGCAACACCACTGAGTGCACTAACTCAGAGTGAATTGCCTGTGCACTAAGAAAGCTCTGCACAGCTAAGCTTTTATCAGTTTTTTGGGGAGTACCTCCCTAATATGCTTGACATTTTCCATATACACTTTGAAAGACTAAAATATATAGTGGTTACAAAGAAACCACCATAAAATGAAGGTGAAATTTTGGTACAAAGAAACCATGTTTTTTTTAAAAAAACATACTGTGTGTTCTCAGCATTTAGACGTAGAAAAGAACTTTGTTTCAATTTCTTTTTATTATAAACTAAATTTAAGAAATATGTAGTTTTAGTCTTCTGACTTCATTTCCCAGAGTTGTTAAAAGGCATAAATGACATAAAACTCATTATGAAAATACACAGAAAAGAATGTAAAACAAATTTTCAGGCAACACAATCCAGCTCCAACCGATAGAAGACACAGCTGATGTAACCAAATGTACATGGGAAATCCCATACAACAACGTGAGGTTGTTTCCTGTTTGAGGTGATTTCCTACGTTTCTGTGGTCTAGAGTGTTCTGTTAGTCATAGGGTTCCCTTATACTACCAGTTCAACATCAAAGAGTTCATCCAGCAGGAGTAGCTTTTATAAGTAAGGTAAACCAGAGGGCAATGCATTGGAATAACTTATTTTATAAATCATAAAGTCTAAAATGATCAGGACTTGAAGGATGGGTTTGACAGATGTACAATTCAGGCTGTTATCACCAATGAAAAAATAAAGCATTTTTATACTCTTGAAATTGTCATTAGTGCATTCGATTTTTGGTAAAGGAATCAAAGTTTAAAATGTCTCTACAATAATACAATGTTAATAGAAATAGAAATTGGTTATGTAATGAGGTCATTATAGTGAGCTACCAATATTACTTAGCTAAGTAATTTCCAAATCAGTGAAATCTTAAAAAAGATTGTCTTTAGAGAACATTATTTGAGGACAGTACTTTTTCAGACAAATTCTGATATTCAAATTCGTTTTATAACAGAATTATAATTTTTTAAAATTATTTATTTCCTAAAATGCTGACAGGCTCCCATTTCTTCGGGAAATATTTTCACCAGTGTGTTGTTCAATTACACAGGACAAGGTTTCTTCACTATTATTAAGAATTTCATACATATTAGAGAGACTGCCATTCATTGCTTTTTCATCTTTCCGAAAAGACACAGGCAAGCTTGCCAGACTAAAACTGACATCTTTAAAGGCATGCAACAAGAATATTCCCACAATGATTGTAAAGAAGCCACTCAGCGTACCAATGACATCATCTACAGGCATATCTTCCCACTCCTTGAAGAGGATAGCTGAGCACATTAAAACTGATGTTGTAAAGAATACATAATATATTGGTGTCACGATTGAAGTGTTGAATATATCCAGGGCCCTATTTAAATAATTGATCTGTGTGCTCACACAGACTATCAGACTCAGCAGCAGAATCCAGGTGAGAGGATGCTGCAGCACAGGCTTTCCCACAAACAGTTCTTTGATGGCGATGCCCAAGCCTTTCACACAGGAGACGGAAAATGCTCCAATCACAGAACAGATTGCTATATACACAAGGATGTTTGTCTGTCCATGGCGAGGTCCCACCACAAAGATTAATATCAAGGACACAATGACTATAAGTGTGGCAAAGACCACAAAACCTAGAGGAAACAAAGAAAAGTTATTTCAGTCAAAAGTTTTAAGTTCTGAAGAAAAAGTGTTGACAATAAAAAAACCAGCTTTCCTTCTATTTATTTACCCTGGAAAGAAGCACACCCATGTCCTAGAAGATTAAAAGATGCTTTCATGTTCACAAATTGTGTGACCACCAATATTTCAGCGGGACCCTTACGTGTCATGCCTATACAGGATAACACTGATTTGTGCTGATTTTTGTTGGGGGGTATTTGGGAGCTCACCACCTCTCGCTCACTTGAATGCCCAACTCCTATGGCAATGGGACATGTGCAATCAAGCTTGGCCGGGGCTAACTTGTCCTAATGAGGAGAACTGCTCATGAATTTATAGGTACTTAACAAAAAAAGAAGCTCTGGGGGGCACTGGAGAGTGAGAATTGGACTGCTAATTGCAAGGTAAGTGGTTCAAACTCAGCAGCTAGCTGCTCTATAGGATAATGATGTTCGCTGTGCCACCTCAGAAATCCTATGAGTTAGAATCAACTTGATTCCAACTTTGCATTGTGGTTAACATAAAACCATTTAAGAAAGGGTGTTTGATTTAATCAGATCCCTTTTCTACAGAGATGAATGACCATGTGGTTATTTTCCGTTGGTCTACTGATGTGGTGTATCACACTGATGCTCATGTGCACCCATCTCTGCACTACTGGACTAAACCCACCTGGTAATGGTGTATGACTAATAAAACCCAACACCTTTTCATTGAAGAAAACTGCATAGAGATTACTTGTCCTAGACTCAAGATTTATAAAAGCCAACAGCCAACATTATACAACAATGGAGAAAGACTGAGAGCTTTCTGAGAAGACAAGTGTGCCTGTTCTCGCCATTTGTATTTAATATTGTATTGGAAGTCCTAACAGGGCAAAAAGACAACTAAAAGAAGTAAAAGGTATCCAGTCTGGAACAAAAGAAGTAAAATCGTCTTAGTTTGCAGATGATATAATGTTACATATAAAAAAATCCCAGTGAGTCCACTAAAGTATTTTTCTAAAGCTAACAGATGAATATACAAGAGGTGCAGGGTATAAGGTCAACAAAAACAATGAGAAACCTGAGAGGAAAGTTGGGACAACATTTACAATAGTACATAAGAGAATAAAATATCTAAGAATAAATCAAACTAGGGACATGAAGGATTTATACAATGAGCATTATTTTTTTAAAATAAAGGTGATTCTGACAGCATCCTGATAGAGGACTTCTATGGCTGTAAATCTTCACAGGAGCAGACAGCCTATCTCTCTGGAGCAACTAGTGGCTTTGAACCATCAACCGTGTCGTTAGCAGTCCAATGTTTTACTCCACAGATCCACTAAGACTCCTCTGAAAGACATTGTCAAAAAATACCAAATCCACTGCGATTAAGTAGATTCCAACTCAGAGCAACCCTACATAGGGTTTCCACGCGTTATAGGAGCAGAACGCCTCATCCTTGGAGTGGCTGGTAGCTTCAAATGACCTTATGGTTCTCAGCCCAATGGGGCCCCATGAAAGAAGTTAGAGAGATTTAAATAGATAAATGGTCCCTATTTATGGACTGGAAGACAATATTAAAAAGATGTCAATATTACCCAAAGCAATCTACAGATTAAATGAAATCTCAATCAAAATTCTAACAATCTTAGCAGAAACAGAGAGATCAATGTGAAAAGTTTATACGGAAAGGTAAGAGGCCCCAAATAGCTAAAGCAATGATGGCAGAATAACTAAGTATGGTTCATGCTTCTTTGTTTTAAATTATCCTATCTAAAAAAAAAACAAAACAACAACTCAGTGCCATTGAAATGGGTGATTCATAGCAACCTATGAAGGTACAAATATCAAATCATCCTGGTACTACTGGTGTAACAGGCACAGACCAACTGAATAAAATTGAGTTCAAAACCCAACCCACACATCAATGCTTAACTGAATTGTGACATGAATCCATCCAATGGGGAAAGAAGAGTCTCTCGAAGAAATGGTGCTAGAAAAGTAGATTTTCACATGCAGACAAAAAGGATCCATGTAATAGGAAGCTTTAATTTTTCTTACCTGGGTCCCCTAGCTTGTGAGACATTTCATTTAGGGTCTCTATCTCTTCTTCTTTTGGAGCATGAATGACCATAACTGTAGATCCTAAAATACTTAGCAGACACCCAATTTTCCCATGAAGATTAAGTCTTTCATTCAGAAAATATGATGAAAGAATAGCACTAAAATGATTTTAAAAAAAAGTGAAGCGGTATCAACACATAATCAACTAATTTTACCATTTTAAAATATTAACATAACTTGTAATTTAAAATATTGACAGTACAAGATTCTGGTTTTCAGCTATAGTAAAGAAAATACACATGCAATTGTGAATGTTTCTAAGAAATCACCTGCTTCATCATACACAAAATCTATTACTTTTTATAAAAAGTCTATATAAAATAAAAGGATCCATACTTTATACAAACAGACTTTTATTAGGAACTTGTATTTAAACCAAGGCTTAATAGTAAGGTCAACATTGTCACTGATAGATGCAGCCTTCGTATTTGTTCCTTTAATCCTACACAGTTTGCCTACTAGTCATCAAATCATAGTACTTTATGGTGAGTTTTTCCTACATCTAAAAAGAAAATACAGATGTTATTTTTGTATACAATATCACTTAGACAAGTGTTTCATTTACTGTAATTTTTATTTAAAAGTCAAATAGAAAAAGCAACTGAAATCCTAGAAAATAGAAATGTACTTTTATATTATCCAATTAAGCTGGAGGAGGAAGAGAAGTTTGGTTAGAGTTCTTTTTGGTTGTTTCAAATTTTGATTAATGTATATAAAATAAAAATGCCATACTAAATGGGAATATAGAGGGGGGTGATATAGGAGGAAAATACAGTATGAGTCTATAAACACAATGATACAAAATACAGAACAAAGGTATGCGCCATAATTACATATAATACCCTTTCCAAAAAGATTAAAAATACCCATCAATTTTAGATGAAGAAACTAAACAGACTTCAATTTGTATTTAGATGTTGGGGTCAATCATTAACAAAAATAAGATATATCTTATCCAAACAAATACATAAGGCCAGACCTTCAGAAGCACACAACATGACTCCCAGGCTATTCTTCACCAATTACCACCTGACCTGTCAAGCAGTACATGTTGTGACAAGTACAACTCAGCACTTAAAAAACTTAAACTAGAACCAAGCATAAGCAAGGAAAAGCACAGAAGCATTTTCTTCCACATCGGCAGGCTTCAGTATGCACAAAGGTTATTGTTTTAAAAACCTACAGTGCTTTTACACATAAACTCAACGGTGTTTAAGTGCAAATCATGTTAAAAATGTGATAGACAGTACTATAAATTTTATAGGTTAAAATACTATCCACCATTTTGACATATGACGCATAGTGTCCTTACCTTACAAGGACGCTGAGAGCCCCTAAAGGAGTCACTAATGTGGCTGGTGCAAACGCATATGCAGCGAAGTTGGCCACCTCACCAGCTCCCACTAGGAGATGGGCAACAACAAAAAAAATTTTCAAATAGGAATATAAACTCTCGATCGCAAATGTCTGTGTTTTTATGTAATTTTATATATTACTTCAAGAGTAACTAGTCATTTATTTCACCCACATATTTAAAAGGCTGACCTATAAATTATTAGAAAGCATTAAAACCAATTAGAACAAATGCATAATTTTAACTGAAGTAATCCAATTTATGCTTATGTTTAGGTTTTTAAATATTACTTTATACTTCTATGCTTTGTCAATAAACCCTAATCAATGAAAATAAGACAAAGCTGAGACATGTCTTTTTCACTGTGTCTTTCTTAAGACCCAATTTAGGTGTGAAAAAAAAAAAAAAAAGACCCACTTTAATGTTCAAAATGCATCTATGTATCATGTCCTGTTCTAGGACCAGGAAAAAAGGCAGGAGCAAAACAGCTCTCAGAACACTTGAGGCCAACTGCCAGATCTTTCTTCCACAGACGGGTCTGAACACGTAACCACTGCCCCACTGCTGTTGTGAGGTGCCATCGAGTCGGCTCCAATCCATAGCGACCCTGTGCACAACAGAATGAAACACTGCCAGGTCCTACGCCATCCTCACAATTGTTGCTTCCCTGCTAGATGGTCACTTGTTTAACTTCAAGCCTTTAAGACCCCAGACAATATATCTTGTAAAAGCCAGGGACCAACAGTTTTCTTCACATTAGCTTATGCACCCATTTGTCTTCAGGATCGTGTAGGAAAGGAGAGCATCAGAGAATACCAGGTTATTAGAACCAAGTGTTCCTGTGTTGAGGGAGGACTTGAGTAGAGACCGGATGTTGGTCTGCTACCTTAATACTTAACCTATAAATATATGTACATAGACCTATATCCCTATCATTATATGTTAATATATTTACATCTGTACCAGCCTTTTTATATGTAATACATATAAAATATAAAAATATAAGGCATTTGAAATAAAAGTATGGAAGTACTATTATCATAAAAACAAAATATCACCACTGCTATTATTATTATGTAAACTTTACTTCAAAGCCAAAAATCAATAAAGATTAGTTCATAAACATAAAGGCTCAATTTATCTGTAAGCAACAACTATAAATAAAGCTATAACTTTACTTAGTAATATGACCTTAGAATGTAAAAATCCTAAGTTAACACAATAAAATTAGATAAGCATAAAATAAATGCTAAGGATATAGAAAATTTAAATAGTAAATTGAGCATAACAGATAAATGTTACTGAACATTAGATTTACTATATATTGGGTGTTTCCACATATTGGCCATTATATTTCAAGGAGTTTAGTTGCAATGTTTCAGCCTTGTCATCTAGGATAGCCCCCTCATCCCTTGTTGTCAAAGGTACTGACTTAAAAAACAAACCAAAAAGCCTTGGAGAAACTCTTATTTTCTGGGTTTTAATTAATTCTACTTTCTTATGTGTTATCTGTCCCACTTGTTCTATAAAATTCTTTCTTGCTTAAGTTTCTTTTTCATTCATTTCTTCCACTAACTAGGACATTACTCTTTTATACCCAATGTATACCACGTACACTTAATCTGTCATATGTAATGTTAATGTTGATCTGTAATTCCCTTATATATATGCCATTTTCTTGGCTTCTTCCCATCCTCCATCTCCGAACCTTCTTTCTGAATACCATATATACTGGAGTAAAAGCCGACCCACTTATCAGCCGAGGCACCTAATTTTATAAAAAAACCGGATGAAAAATGTGCTGGAAAACTCAGCTTGTACATGAGTATATGAGGTGAATTTCTTTCCACTTACAGAATACCCTTCAATCTGTTTTAACATAGCTAGGTTCATCTAAATCAGTGGTTCCCAACTTTCCTAATGTCGCGACCCTTTAACACATTTCCTCATGTTGTGGTGACCCCCAACCATATTACTTTTGTTGCTGCTTCATAACTGTAATTTTGCTACTGTTATGAATAGGGTAACCCCTTTGAAAGGGTCACTAGACCCCAAAAGGGGTCACCACCCACAGTTTAGAACCATTGGTCTAAACTATTGTCATTTAGTTTTTATTCTTGAAGGACATTTTCAATGTGTACAGAATTATTTCTCTGCCAGTTTTATTTTTTAGCAATTTAGAAATAGGCTTCTCTGTTTTCTAGCATTAAATAATACTAAAATTACCTTGTCCTTCTTTTACAGGTACTCTGACATTTTTTTCTATGATTGCTCTTAAGACAGTATGTTTGGTTCTCAGCAGTTTTATTATGATATATCTAAGTCCAAATTTTATTTTCAAGATGATGCTTACCTCTTGCTGGGCTTATTTAGTCTGTGGTTTAATAACATTTTTTCTGTTTTGAAAAATTTCAAAACTCATTTGACAATTTATATCAATAAATGCACACATTAAAAAAGAACTAAAATCAACACCTTAATCCAACCAACATCTCCAACCATTAAAAAACAAAAACAACCCTAGTTATCAGAAGAAAGGAAATAACGAAGAATCAAGCATAAATTAAAAAAAAGAAACAACCAAAAATAAAAAGAATCAAAACTAACAGCTGGTTCCTTGAAAGATTAATAAAACTGATGAACCACTGGCAAATTTAACAAGAGGATGCAATTACTAGTATGAAATAAAGGAAGTGATATCCCAAAAGAACCTACTGAAATCAAAAGGACAGCTAAAGTAATACCATAAAGAACTATACCTCAACAAAATTGAAAACCAAGGGGAATGTGAAACTTCTAGAAACACACTACCTCTTCAAACTGGCAAAATCTCAGGTAGAAAATGGCAACACATCACAAAAGAAGAAATTGGCAAGCCATAAAAAACTCCAATCTAAAAAGGTTCTGACTTAGCTTCACAGGCAAGTTCCACCACTACCACCAATGCTACTCAAATTATTCCTGAATTTAGAAAATGGAAGATTACTCCCAATTCAGTTTTATCATGTGAACATAACCTTGGTATCAAAAACAAGCAAAGACGTAATCAAAAAGAAAAATTTTAGTCAAAGGTACCTATGAATAGAACATTGATGCAAAAATTGTTAACAAAATCTGAATCAATAAAATCTAACAATATATCCAAACAATAATATATCACAACCAAGGAGCATTCACCCCAAGTAAGCAAGAATAGTTAAAATAAGAAAAATAATCAATAAAATCTATCACATAAATAAAAGGGAAAGCACATCATCAAATCAGTGTGGAAAACATAGTTCACACCCATTCTTAATATAAATGTAAGAGCAATTCCTCAAGATAATTAAGAGCACATATACAAAACAACTGCCAAAATTACTCTCAATTGAGAGAATGAAAATATTCTCTTTATAAATGGGAACCAAAAAAGTATCCTTTGGCGGGTGCATAAGCAAATGTTGTGAAGAAAGCTGATGGAGCCCAGCTATCAAAAGATGAACGCCTGGGTTCTTAAAGACTTGAAGGTAAACAAGCAGTCATCTAGCTCAGAAACAACAAAGCCCACATGGAAGCAGCACACCAGCCTGTGTGATCATGAGGTGCCGAAGGGATCAATTACCAGGCATCGAAGAACAAAAAAAATCATATCACTGTGTGCTCACCTTCCCAATACGATCACTGATGACAAATGGGTGCATAAGCAAATGTGGTGAAGAAAGCTGATGGTGCCCGGCTATCAAAAGATACAGCGTCTCGGTTCTTAAAGGCTTGAAGATAAACAAGCGGCCATCTAGCTCACAAGCAACAAAGCCCACACGGAAGCAGCACACCAGCCTGTGCAATCACAAGGTGTCAAAGGGATCAGGGATCAGGTATCAAAGAACAAAAAAATCAAATCATTGTGAATGAGGGGGAGTGCAGATTGGGAACTCAAGACTGTAGGCAAATGGACATCCCCTTATGGAAGGGTCGTGGGGAGAAGAGCCTGTCATGGTGCAGTGTAGCAACGATGAAACATACAACTTTCCTCTAGTTCCTAAATGCTTCCTCCGCCCCTTGCCCCCACCCCCACCCCCGACTATCATGATCCCAGTTCTACCTTACAAATCTGGCTGGACCAGAAGATGTACAATGGTTCAGATAGGAAGTGGAAACACAGGGAATCCAGGACAGATGATCCCTTCAGGACCAGTGCTGAGACAGTGGATGGAAGTTGGGATGGAAAGGGGGAAATGATTACAAGGATCTACATATAACCTGGGGGATAGACAACAGAAAAGTGGGTGAAGGGAGACGAAGGGCAGTGTAAGATATGACAAAATAATAATAATTTATAAATTATCAAAGGTTCATGAGGGAGGGGGGAGCGGGGAGGGAGGGGGGAAAATCAGGAGCTGATACCAAGGACTCAAGCAGAAAGTAATGCTTTGAGAATGATGATGGCAACATATGTACAAAGGTGTTTGACACAATGAATGGATGGATGGATTGTGATAAGAGATGTACGAACCCCCAATAAAATGATTTTTTTAAAATGTCCTTTGATCAAGCACTAGTATTCAATATTTATTGGAAGCCTTAGCCAGAGCATTAAAGGGAAATAAAAGGCATCCAAATTGACAGAGAAGTAAAATTCCATCTGCAAATGATATGCTCTTTATAAATATAGAGAAAATCCTAAAGACAGCACAAAAACTACTAAAACTATCATAAATATTCAACAGTTTTGAGGTGCAAATAAACACATAAAAACCAGTCATATTCTTCTACACTAACATTAAGAACTCTAAAAGGGAAATCAGGAAAAAAACATTTAAAATAACTACACAAAATATGAAGTACTTAAGAATAAACCTATTCAGAAAACAAAAGACCTATTCCAGGACAACAATACTATAAGCAACCAAAAGAGACCTATGTGAATGGAAGAATATACTATAGATATGGATAGAAAGACTTTACTATTGTGAAAATGCCAATACTACCCCAAACAATCTACAAATATAATTTAATTCCAATCCAGATTCCATCATATTTTTTTAAAGAGATGGAAAAGCTAATCACCGA